TCTAAAAATAATTCACCCTCCCCAAAACAACCCCTCCACCTCAGCCCCCACACACACACAAACTTTCACACATGCTGATGCTTTCCTTATTTGGGGAGAGTTGAAAGTCTTTGCAGCTAATTTGGAAGCGTTATGGATAAAGTTTCAGCGTATGTGTTTATTTGTATATGTGTATGACTTAGTGTTTACCATCAGGGGAGGTCGGGTTAGCGACTTTCAGATCACATGTGCTCAGAGTGTGCAGCTGCCAACTATAACTTTGACCACGGGCTTGTTTATGACGGTGCTGAGATGGTCCATGAGGTCACAATAAGTGAAAGCGGGTAAAAAACTCTGGGCCTGAACAGGTTGTAATGATTGTTTGAGAGCTTGTCGTGTTTATGAGCACCAATCAATGAAGCCTGAAGTAATGCTAAAGGCTAACCCTGACAGGCTCATTTGTCTGGCAATCCAATCAACATAACTGACATGGGCAGGCTTTGTTTGTCTGAGAGGAGCGAGGCTGCTCCTCCTGCTGAGCTGCAGGGCAGAATTACGACCCTCCTCTAATTATGGGGTTATCTTTGTCAGTTACCGTCAAGACACACACAACAGCATGGGACACCTGGCTTCATTCCATTTCTGCGGACCACACCACCCATCACATGTCCGGCGTTGACGGGCTGTCAGTGAAGAGGATTCTCACAGATGACTTCAAGGGTGCTCTGAGTGATTTAACATTAGCGCTCCGGGATATGATGTCTTAATGGTTCCATTTATTACGATTGTGTGAAATAACCTTTCCACAGACATTAAAGCTTAATTACAAAGACTGTAGCCAATTTTCTAGACCATATTTCCAATACACGTCCATGCACGCATGTTGTTTCGCGCATATGACTGGTGTATGAAGAGTAGTTACTGCAATGAAATGGTGCAAAAAAAAAAAAAGCTTTTAGTTATTCAAACCCTCCTATTAAGAGGACATTATTTATCTGCAATACCATCATTGCAGTTGAAAGCACTTATCCTTTAGCTGGGTCTATTTCTCACATCTGCAGTTCAGTCGTATGCTTTAATTTCCATGCATGAATGACAAGGAATTGTGAAATGAATTATCAAAATCATTGTGGAGCACCATTACAGAGAGCGTCCATTAATCTATAACAGAGTCATCACAATGTGCTTTCATTTAAAGGTCACATATTGTGCAAAATGCACTTTACCATGTTTTTCGAACACTAATATGTCACTGTCTACAAACCTCCCAATTATGAGAACTATGGGAAAGGTCCATCCTCTCTGTCTTTGGCCTGCTCCACTTCTAGATTATATGCACATGTCCATGTCCACTATCTATTGTTCAATCCACTGGAGGGGGGGGGGTGTATACAGAGCCATTAAACACCCCTGCAAGCCCACACTTGTCTTCATAATTATTTTTCCTGCCACTTACAGAATGGCAGCAGGTGGGATCTCAGGCCAGCTGGAGAGGTGAGGAGCAGGCCATCATGATGGATGAAGAAGTGTTTTGAGACGTGGAAGAGCCTGTTGTGACATACAGGAAGTCAGAAAAGGTAGTGCAGCAGAAAAAGAAGACAGAAGAAGAAAAGTCTTCAGAAGCAATGAGGCAACACGAGAGAGAAGTGAATCATCTCCTGAGAAGATAATGTGTGCTTGGTTAATATGTGACATGGGAGGTGTTATAACTTAGTGATGAAAGGTGGATGTGGAGTAGAAGGTCAAGGGTGTACAGCAGGGTCAAATAACAGATTTTATGGGAAGTTTCACTTTGCAACATCAATGAAGACAAAACGGTTGCACAAAGTAGGACAATAACCATATCAAGAGGCAGTGGAGTATGAGTTGCTTACAGTGGAGGATTTGTGTTAAAGTCTCAGTATATTTCTTTATGAACTGCATGTTCTTGAATTAGACGCAACTAGATATTGAATGTAATTGCTCTCACATTCCCAGAAACAATTCACTTAACATTAGACGAATACTTGAGACGCTTGTAAAAAATATGTAGATTGCAATTATTGTACAACTTTGCAACTTGCACAATTTACGAAGTCATTGATAAAAGTATTGGTTATTAACGGCCCAGCAGATGTAGAGACTCATGTGGGATAATACATTAAAGGTGCACTATGTTAGAGAAATGTGAAAGTTGGAGAAGTGTACAGATTTTGTGTTATATGTTCATAACTCTATACACACAACATCCTCAGAGGAAAATTTTTTCCCTGTAACTCTGTTTGAAGATAAAATGCTACACGAGAAGTTATGGTGGTGGGCCCGCAACAGTCAACCCGTAACTCTCCTGCAGCTTTTTAGCTTCAAACAGTGTCCAGAGACCCTTTATTTGCTTTGAGAAAATTTGAGTAGTCAGTAAAGAAAATATAGCATAGAATTGTTTCACTTCTCCAACTTTCAAATTTAACTACCAAATCTACAGTGCACCTTTAATAACATCTTTAAAATGACAAGTGCATTATTAATATGCAAATTGCATGCAAGGCTAAATGCAAGCAAATAACAGTGAATAGGTCAACCTAATTATAAAGGGAAACCAAAGCAATACTTAGTAGTGTTGAATAGAAATGTGGGGGGAAAAACAAAAAGAAACGGAATGCAAAACTACTGCAAAATTCAGAAATTTGAATATTCTATTAGATTGTGCACATGTGGATAATAGTGTAAAATATATTGTGGTGTTGTGAAATTTCATGTGGGCAAAGTCTCTATTTATCTAGAAAGAGGAAGTAATTCAGAGAAGTATTATGTAAGCCAAATCTTTTGCTGCTATTGTCCCTTGAGGCCTCTAAAGTGTCAGTGAGCAGTGCACAGCTTAAAGAATTGCTGGACAAAAAAACTTGAGTGACTGGGACAAAAGCTCCTTAGATCCGGGGCTGCATGCTCCACTCTGAAATAAAAACTGGGGTGCACTCCTCTACAGTAAGAACCTGTTGCCCTCTCCCCCTCCAGGGGGGTGGGTGGGGGGAATGAGACTTCCAGAGATTGGACTGAGCAGCTGGCCCCCAAAGGGAGCAGTGCAACTAATAATCTGTCCTTCTGACAGATGAGGTTAGATGGCTGTCATTTGAGCCCTGCTGATCATGCAGGCAGGGATATCTGCAGCCCCAGAGAGATGCGCTCACTGGTGGCATTTCATAGGCCTGCGGTCACTGTCACACTCATCGCTGCAGACCTCTCTGCTTTCACACACCTCTCCAATGCGCCTAACTGAGCATGGACACAAACTCCTCTCTGAACCTTCAGGACACTTAAAAACCATGCACTCATGTTTTACAACAACCATATTTTAGTCATGTAAAGCAGGATGTAGAGCCAAATGAGAACCTTAAAAAGTGACTCACACTTTCAAAATAGAGAAACGAGGTATACTTTGGTCAAAGTGTTGTGCTGATCTTTAAACTCGTACTTTGAAATGTTATGATTGATGTTGGCACTCAGCTCCAGTCAAGAGTTACGTAGTTCAGCACCTGATTTGCATATTGTCTTCAAACACATCCATGGTATTAAAGGAATTTGCCCAGGGCACCCCGAAAGCAAGTAGGAACACTCCTGTGCTCGCATTTCAGTCAAGACAGAGGGAAATGCAAATAGGTTATGAAATCGTCCACAAACTTTTTTATAACAAGCACTTGAGGACTATGATGTAGTAGTTTATGTTAGACTCATATTTTTGTTTGCACATCTTGTGAAAATCAACATTGAGTTGCATTCTTATAAACAAATTATAAATGCATATAGGAGGAAAAATGGACATATTAAGTTATCTATAATCGAACATAAGGCCTATTTCAGAGGTCAAAAGCATTTAAATAAACAATAAATAGCTGCGGTAACTTTTCTTCCTAATTAAGCTCCAATTTACTAGTTTAATTGAGCCATTGTCCCGTTACATATTTGTTAGATACATTCTATCAGCAATATAGAAGTTTACAACTTGCCATGAAATTTCAAAAGAAAACGAAACATAACTTTGTCAGAGGAGGGTGAAACAGAGAGCATGCTGTTCAGACAATAACATGCGCGGGAAAAGAAGGGCGGAGAGAGGAGGAGCGGAGAGCGAGGGAGGAGGAGGAGGAGGAGGAGGAGGGGGTAAATGGAAGTCTTTTTATCTCTAGTTTCCCACATCCTGTGAACGGCTGCAAACGTGGCCACCCAATTTGAAAGAATGAGAGGAATGTGCCTATTCTCCCCAACCCCCTTTGATGAGCAGCCAGTGGAGAGGCATTGTAAGGCAACTCAAATAGAGACCATAGTCCTGGACAACACTTCAGCCAATAAACCTCTGCGTTTAATGTGAAAATAATCAGGTAAATGGCAGGGGTCAGAATGGCTGGAATGCAATTGATGAACTGCCCCCAGGTTGTAGCCCCTAGACGTGCTTGTCTCTTTGGTAAAATGTCTTTATTAAGGCATGTGGAAGCTTCTGTGCTATTTAAAGTACAGCCTGTTTGTTTTCTCAACTGCAGACACGACAGGAAGAAAGTGAAGGGAAGAGTTAAGAATACAAAAAAGGATATTTTTAAATGATGGTGGTGATGTATCCTGTGTAACCTAATAGAAAAGACTGATATTCAAGTTTCAGTAACTTGACTCACTTCTGGTATATTTAAGATCATGATAAAAGTTATAATAGACTATTCATATCTTCTATTTCCTGGCTGAGTTTCCCGCAAAGGAAAGAGACGGGGTAGCACTTGGCTTTGAATTTGCATTTCTCTCCAACTTGTATTCATAATTGTTACTCTAGACTCCCCCCTTTTCAGCGCCTTTTTTATTCCCGCCACGTCTGAGTCTGGTCCGGCCGGTTAAGGGGGTGGCTTTATTTTCATTACATGATTGACATGAGTTTGGAATGCGTACATGCATTCCTATTGGCTCAGAGAGCGGAAAAAGGCGGGGATGCGGTGACATCAGAGCCTGTTGCACCGCCCTCTTACTATTGCCTTATAAACGTCCACCCCCATCTCTGTGTTTCCAGGAGCCGGTGTCTGACGGAGGCTTTGGTACGCACACTGTCTAATCTGTTTATATTGTGAACCTACTCAGCTGTTTACAAAACACTGCGTGTAGAAGACGCAGTTTCGAGTGAGTTTTTAATGCGCGCTGAGGTATCCATCCGCCGGGACACACTTTTGGGCTTTATTTTCCCTGGAACACGAGCCTCTGGATGAAAGGATCCCTACCGCATTTTTGTTGCTCCAACGTGGACTTAAACTGCTGGAGACCGGAGCCCTCAGGATCGGAATAAAATCACAGATTCAAAAAAATAAACACGAAGAAGACAACACGCCTTTGACCTGTGGTGGATATATACTTTAAGGAATGCTGCTGTCCAAGCTCAATTCTCTGGCCCACATCTCCACTGTAGACATGCCGGCGAAAATCCAGCTCCAAGTTCATCAAGGTTAGACGCCCTTTTCCCACTCTACCATCATGGAGGACGAGCTGCAGCAATGGCTGGCACACCGCTTATCGGGGCTCGGTCCGCACATGATACTACTTATTCATTTATAAGGAATTGCAGCTAATTTAAACCCTTATTACCAACGTATTACTCGTGTTACGTGGTGGTGTATCGGTTGTAGGTACCGATAGTTTCTTCGGTGTTAACCGGCTGTGTTTATGTTTTTACAGTGAAGGAGAGGGAGCCGTTCGAGAAGCTCTATCAGGTCGGCGCGGTGCTGGGAAGCGGAGGCTTCGGTACCGTCTACTCCGGTACAAGGATATCCGACGGATCTCCGGTTAGTATTTATTATGAACTACTATCAGAAATATTTTTTAACTCTGTTTTTTTTGTATGTTTTGTTGTGGAACATGTCATTTGACGCGGGCTCTTGTTTATCCTCTTAGGTTGCTGTGAAGCACGTTGCTAAGGACAGAGTCTCCGAATGGGGAGAGCTGGTAAGAGATTATATACAACTGGTTTTCGACATTTTAGACAATTTTTACATGATTATTTTTTACTATATATTTGAGAAGTATTGTATATTTTACAAAAAGTGAGACATATAAAGTATTTGGCGTCATTTTGGCATCATTTTTTATATCATATTTTAATGTTTATGTTTCTCTTTAGCCCAACGGCTCGCGGGTTCCCATGGAGATCGTGCTGTTGAAGAAGGTCGGCACGGGCTTCCGCGGTGTTATCAAAATGCTGGACTGGTTCGAGCGGCCGGACAGCTTCATTATTGTGATGGAGAGACCGGAAAACGTGAAAGACATGTTCGACTTCATCACGGAGAAAGGTGCCTTACCGGAGGAGCTGGCGCGGAGCTTTTTCCGCCAGGTCCTGGAGGCGGTGCGACACTGCCACAACTGCGGGGTGGTGCACCGGGACATCAAGGACGAAAACATCCTGATCGACCTGCGCACTGGGGAGATGAAGCTCATCGACTTCGGCTCTGGAGCTCTTCTGAAGGACACAGTATACACAGACTTTGACGGTGAGACAGCAGTGTTTAAAATTTGCCTTTTAGCATTGTAATAGTTTTTGTATGAAACCTTTTATTTTAAATATAGGTAGTTAGAGAAATTGAACCTTATATGTTATTTCACAACACCAGTAGGAATTCCTAGGTTGTGTCATCTCTGACATCCCCCACAGCAGCCTAATAATAATAATACAAGCTGAGCAGCATTGCCTTTGCTTTGGCGCCCCCTATAGGTTGAAAGGGACACTTTTACAACTCAAAGTTTGTAAACAATGTCACATGTCTGCTCCCCCTCCCACACTCAAACACACACAGCTCTCTCTCCCTCTCAAACACACTGCCTGTCACGCACCCTAGCACCTGAGTGCAGATAATCACCAGAAACAGACTTAGCTGATAAATCTGCACTTTGTTAATCATTTATTTGAAAACAGAGTAATAATAAATATGATAATCAGTTATGAGAGATTATTTCAAGGCCAAGTGATTATAAGTTTGTGATTGTTGATAAATTAGTTTTTTAATGTTTTTTTTCTTATTTTTCCTTTCTCCCTGATAGGCACAAGAGTGTACAGCCCACCTGAGTGGATTAAATATCACCGCTATAATGGACGCTCAGCTACTGTTTGGTCCCTGGGTGTCTTACTATATGACATGGTGTGTGGGGACATCCCCTTTGAACATGATGAGGAGATCTTGAGAGGACAGGTGCTCTTCCGGAGAAGAATCTCAGCAGGTAAATAAACTTTGCCTCTCATTTTTATTTGGTTGTTTGGTTACAAGTGTTTAATATTTGATGCTTAGTCAAGTTTTCCAGTGTTTAATGTATCCTCCTTCACTTGCAGAATGCCAGCAGCTGATCAAGTGGTGTTTGTCTCTGCGGCCGTCAGACCGCCCATCCTTCGAGGACCTCATCAACCACTCGTGGATGCAGAGCACATCCTCCTCTGTAGTCCCGTCCACGGTGCAGACAGAGAAGACATCCACAGAGATCAGACTTCACAGCATCAGTCATGAGCCCACAGCCTTCACATCCACCCCTGTCACAGTGGCTCGGTGAAGCAAATTTAAAAAAAACAGCTCATGCCGAGCTGATCTGGTCCGAACTGGCCTGCACTGAGACTATTACAAAAGACTTATGTAACAGACTTGAAGCAGAGAAAAGGGAGGGCTGGCCCGCGGTCCTGTTGCAGAAAAGACGAAGGTGTAAAGGACTGAATGCAGAGGAAGCTGAAAAAAATCATCACAACTTGGTTTCACTCTGCAAGGCCGGACCCTCTCCGCCCTCATAACCCCTACTACTTGATTTTCCCAACAGTGTCAGAGAGTTGTCCTCACTGGACTATGATCTCAACGCTGGGTGTTTATCAGTCTGTTAGAGGGCATGGCTCCGTATGCACGGCCACCTGCATCGAGCAAACACAATACATTCAGTTTCTTCTGAATGGAGAGTGGACACACTGAGTTATGTAACCTCTCGCCAAGCTGTACTCAGCTCTCACTCTATTTTCTGTTTGAGCAAAGAGCAGAGGCGTTTGCAAAGAGGATTTTTTTTTAAGTGCCTTCTGTGAGATTGTTGGGGGAACCTGAAAATACTTGAATTTGTCAAAGCAAAAATAAGGCTCTACTTCTCCACAGCCTTTATTGCTCCTTACTTTGTACACAGCTTTATATTTTTCTTTGCTATTTTCCTCTCATGGGCCTAGATCAGTAAAGCCTATGCCATTTTACAACCACTACTATCACTTCTTCTACTACTCCAATGTCATTAGCAACCAGACAACCTCATAGCTCCTGCAGCAACCTGTGCAAACAAATCATAAAAAACACTGGACTTACCTCTCTCTTTACTACAGCATCCACCTCTACGTACGCTACAACCTCCACTTCCTCCTCTTCTGTAAACTTGTGTACTGTACACAAACACAAAGCTTAGGCAACCGCTGGTTCACATCTACATGAATGCACACCACAATGCAAACCTAACCATACCGAAATACAACATCCTCTGCTCTTCACCTCGATTATTTTTAACGTTCAAACAGTGCCTCACACAGGTCTTAAAATTTGATGGAGACAAGAATTGTAAATAATAATAATGATATTTATTATTGCTGTGACTTTCTTTCTCACACTCAATGAGCGCAGAATTTATTTATTTATTTATGAGAGAATTTTGGCTGTACTTAATGTATTTCATTCCACAGTCACTGAAGGGCCCACAGATTATTTTGGAAAAAAAAAGACAAAGAAAGATTTTTTTTTCACCATATTTATTATGGCTTGAATTTTTTTAAAAGAGCAGATGCGCGTGTGTGTATATATTGTAAATATGTAAATAGTCCTGAAAGCACTTCCATGTTAATGTGTGTAAACATTGGGCGTCTACTGATGGTAACTGGTTTTGTTACGCTGTCGTCTGCTGTGTTAGAAAGTGAAATCTGAATGTTGGATGTTTGTGTGTGTGAATGCGATGTGAGATTGAGAAAACTTCCCTGGTTTCATGATTGCAGCTTGGATTGTTGTTTTCACCCATTAAAATTAGAATTGTAAATTATGTTAGAAACTATTTTTATACGACTTCAATAAATATTTTTGTAACTATTATTTTTGACTCCCTTGTATCACTTAAAGCAACACAATCTGTTGTTATGGACCTGCACACCTCATCATACTAATGTCTAACATCTACTTAGGTGAAAGGCAAAATATCATGTGGTACCTTTAAACACATAGAATCATGTTTCCTTTGATATAGTTTCCATAGACAGCAGCAGTACACAGAAATTGAACAGAAAGATCATCTTCTAGGTCAGGAGGTTATACAATTCTGTAAGCAGGCTTCCTGTTTTTCACCTTTGTAGAAAAAGCAGCATATGGAGCTGATGAAGAGATAAGAGATGACAGGTGGTTAGAAAAAGTGGGGGCTGGGTGCCATTTTATAGAAGTAAACAAGTTGAAATGATTCCCACAATTTACCCTCTACTAAAAAACAGATATTTAAAAATGAAACACTAAATTAGTAATTTTACAAATGTGAACTGTAGACTTCAGAGGACTCATTGTGTCAAAGGTTTAGTGTTTCAACTCACATGTCAGTGCCAGAGTTTTGAACTGAGGACTCATTGTCTCTCAAGTTCTGATATAAATTAATATGCTGTATGTTTTATTAAATGTATATTTATTTACCACTGCTTGGTCTGCATCATTGGTACAAAGTAACACATTTTGCAAAGCTTTATATTTACTCTCATTACATTTATGTAATGACCCAATCGTCCTTCTTCAACAACATGCAAAGCCGATTCCAACAGACCTGGGATACTGTAAAACAGTTATAAGTTAAGTTATCGATACAGTATAGTTTTATCTACAAAAAATTAGCAAGCATGTTTGATGAGTCCATTGAGGTTTCCTTTTTGTGCATTTTTCAGTGAGAATGTTTTACCAGTAAACAATCTTAAATGTGAGGACTGATTCAATGCGTTACCAGTATACTGTTGTTAAAATGTCCTGTCTGACATTAAAAAAAAGGTATATTTAAAGATACTTTATACAAAGCTAAAAACATCTGTTATTACCAAGTGGCAGCTCATCAGTTTCGATATGAAGAAGTCAAATGACTGACAGTCAATCGTGGTGTAGTTGTTTGTCAGGGGGCTTAAGACCCTCCTCAGCTCCAGCTTGTAGCCTGTTGTTAGGCTGACTGAAAGTTAAATTGAGATAGCATTTCCAGCATGGCGACCGCCATCTTTAGGCTTCCAAAGCCCCCTTCAGTAACCAATGGTTGACGCCGCTCCATTCTTCGTCCATGTTTATTTCCAGTCTATGATTGTAACTCCTCTTAGCGTCAGGTATAAACTATACAGTTATCACTCTCTCCAGTTCACAGCTGTAAAGTGTCTTCATGGGTTTAATCCCACTGAAAAGCTGCAGATGCTCTCATGGATTAATCTAGACATTGATAGTGAGCAGCAGGCAATCATGGATCTGCTCTCTGGGACAGATAAGAGTTGTAGCTGTAATCAGTTGCGATGCTCTCATGGGAAGTCGGCCTCACTGCTAATCTTCCTTGAGACAGCGCTGCTAGGACCCAACCTGAAGCAAAACTGATATTAACACAAGTAAATTACAGGGGTGTTTGGAACGCTGCAGCTCACATCAGCCCCAGTTAGTGGCAGTCTGGTGAATATGAAGTGCTATTACCTGCTGTGATATGATTAACATGGATATGGATGCTAGAGAGGATGAAGACGGTGGCCATGATGTGTACTTGTAACTATAGCATACCCCAGTACACTACTCTTAGCTCAGCTAGCGACTCTATTGGTGGCGCTTTCAGTGGCAGGATGTATCTCTCACTCTTTATCATGTAATCTAACCTTACACTCTAAGTTTTTCCGACTTCACTTTAGTTGAAGAGCACCAAGAACTAAACTTGGTAGCTCTTTATTGACAGCAACAAATGTACTACTCAGAAACTGTTTGAGCAAATTAAATAATCAATAAACCAAAACTAAAAATCACAATCTGTAATGTTGTAGTTGCAGGTTATTAAACATGAATACAGTTGCTGGTTTAGATTTAACATTTAATTACAGTATGTGAATTTAAATACAAGCTTTTGATCATCATGTACAAGCCAACACTTACTTCTGTCCAGCTTTTCTGCATGATGACATCAAATCTGTCAAATGGGCACAGAAATGTTGTGTTTCCCAGTTGTTGGATTGGAAACCCATTTTCCCCAAATTCACATATCACCACATAAATGCGAGAAGAGAAAGGTATTTAGCATCTACAGAGACAGATATTTCAGTCAGGATTTTGTAAGACCCAAATCAAAGCTTATAGTAGAGCAGCTCTTGGATTTGTTGAGATGAAAAACAAGACTCCAGGGAAATGCTGATGTTGCCCTGTGTCTTCTGGAAGAGTTAATAATCATGTGCTTGATTGTAAAATTCGACCGAAAGTTGATGTTACTGAGAGTTTACTGTCCATTTGACCAAAATATCAGTTGTTGCAGGGTTTTAAAAATACATTTAGCCATGGTAACCGTAAGTGTCTGTATAGTGATGGTAATGTCCGTCTGTTTAGAATATCATAGTGGAGTTGTTGTGAAGTTTGGTGATTCAGTTCAGGCAGAGCTGCATAAGTGATGCATAAAGAATCAATGCCACAAACAACATCAGTCATCAGTAATAAAGGGTATAATTAAAGATTATTCACTGATCTTTTATCAGTGCCTCTCCATTTATAAACACACATACACCAGAGACAACCACACACCGTAGCCACCATCTAATTCTTGTTGTATAACTTTGGAGATTTCTGTTCTCCAATCAGCGTACACCTCTACAGTCCGTCCGTCTGCCGATCAAAGACTCTCCGGAATCTCATTTCAAATCAGTTACAAAAATGAAGTCCTGCTGCTGTTCCAGAAAACTCACTGTGGGTATCTTTGTATCAGATAATAATAAAGTGATGTCATCAAAGGATGACGAAAATAAAATGTCATCACCAGCATCAATTTGAACAGTAGTGTCAGTCTCCAGTCATCCGTTTGATCTGATGACACCCTTCCTCTGCAGGTACTCAGACAGCATACAATTTCCCTGAAGAGATTATAGTGTGTTGAGACCACAGGTAGTTTCCACGAATAACCCCGACATTTATTTCCTCTCCTGTTCTGAGAACCACAGGCCACATCCAACTGCGCATATGTCAGCTCTCGTTCTCATGAAAGTCTAGAAAAGCAGCCACCCCAGATGGGACTCGAACCCACAATCCCTGGCTTAGGAGGCCAGTGCCTTATCCATTAGGCCACTGGGGCTTCACATGATTCACTTCTATCAGTCCTGTCCACATACGGGGAGTTCCACAACAAAGCATCAACGTCAGAGGCATAATGGGTGCTTTCAGGTGACATAACAATGTCCTCTGGCAGAAACTAAAATCAGCAGTGAGCTCACTTTCAGCTCGTAGTTTAGCTGCCCAGTCTGCTACTGTTTTTATTATTAACTGTTTCTAGTTACAAGCAGCTGTTTTCAGTGAAAAAGCTCTAAAATCAATCAGTATAATACCTGCTCAACACCAAACGGCTACAGACTGAAAGGACTAAATAGAGTGGGACATTTACAAGCTACATGTTTACATAGCCAGAAAGAGTACTCCTAATTAACCATATTGGTTTGGAACTGGATGGTTTGGATGTAAAGATAATAAAACTGTTTGTTGATGAATTTGGCTTACCAGTATAACCAAAAGGGGATAATCAATTCTATGTTTACAACTCGTTTCAGCCAAAACCATCAGTTGTTACAGGCTTAAAAAGTTGTTGTTGGGTGTTGGCAGGCAGACGTCTGTAGCGAAAGTTTTAAGTCAAATGTGTAGCAGAATAAGTGTTAAGTGATGATCAGGGATAGCTCTGTTACTAATTTCAACGGCGACTGCATGAGCGCATCTTTCTTTACTTCCTAAACCCAGCGCCTGTAAATAGGGTGTTTGATTTGTTGTTCTGGGACGTTCAACGCCAAGTGCTTCTAATTTCTTCCCACTCCATACTAGTATTAAAGTATTGACATGTTTTTTTATCAAGGACACATGAAGCCAAGGAGAGGTGAACAATATGAAGAGATGAAGGTTGTGGTAATAGTAACAGCAAGAGTTTTCACCCCTGCATATAAGTTTTTCGGCTAGACACAGTGACTACCTTGACAATATCTGTTTTCTCTGTCAACCAAACAATGATAACAAAAAGCATCAGACAAGCATTGAAGACAAGCTAACCTAGCTAGCTTGCTGTTAACCCCTCTCTGAATGTTAAGCTAACCAAACACATTGCTGCCTGTGAATAATCTTGCTTTCCAAAAATGCAATAACAATTCCCTGACATTTTGAACACAAAAATAATGAAGTCACTTGCTTTGAGACACCACAGTGATCTGTTCTTTCCTTTTGTTCATACTACCATTGTTGACCACAGTTTTCCCCTGCACATGTGGAAGGACTGATCATGCAAACTGCCTACAGATTGAAATACAGAGTTGGGTATTTGCATGGACTGTTGGTGACTCACTCTCTCCCTCCCTGAGTTCAGTTCATTTGACTGTCTTGATTCAACACTGAGTCATTACAAGGACACAGTGAAACATCTACCAGAGACATTTTAGAACAACACTGCCTGTGATAAGCTTTCAGAAAACAGAGACATATCGATAACTCATTTGTGTCTCCTTGGAGGGGTCTCGTGTAATTATGAGTCAATGGGGGTGTCATTTGTTTTGATCACAGACGCTGTATGTTCTCTTTGTGTGTCTGTTCTCCCCCTTGAGCAGGCGTTATTCACTTCTTAACACCTCACCAATCAGAGCTGATTGGCTCATCTGTGTCATGTTCCCGTAACTCGTGTGCTGCACCTTCTTCTTTGGAAAGCCAGGCTGTTACATTGCGTCAACCTCCCTCCTCTGCTCTAACTGAAAGATACAGAGAGAGAGAGAGAGAAAGAGAGAGCCAGAGCAGTTGGGCAATTTGTCAGGAAGTTCCTTTAGCTCCCCCACCTCCATCTATCTCTTTCTCTCTCGGTCACTGTCTGTCTCTATCTGCAT